CTCTGAGTTCCAGGATGGCCGGGCTACACAGAAAAACCCTGTTTTGAAAAACAAAACAAAATTTATTCTTTTATATATATGGGTTTTTGGCTACATGTATGTCTGTGTGGCACATGCATGCCTGTTATCTGCTGAGGCTACAAGAGGGCATTGGATCCTCTAGAACTGGAGTTATGGATAGTTATGAATCACCATGTGGGTGCTGGGGATTGAATCTGGGTCCTCTTGAAGAACAGCAGGTGATCATAACCACTGAGCCATCTCTCCAGCCCCAGAAGTTGTTTTCTTATTCTGTTGAGTGCTCGGCTTTGTTCCCTTACCTTGTCTCTTCTGCATTGGACCAAGAAAGATCTTTGGTTGGGTGTTTTGACAACAGACACTATATTGATAACTTGGAAATTTTTGCCTTTTTGTGAATTTTAATTGAGGTCTCAGAAGATGAGAAACTGGTGAGAGAAAACAGTGTGCTGTATGGAGAGGGACTTTTATGGGATTTTCAATACCTGAGGAGGAATTGAAATGACAGATGCTTGGGAAAGCTAAGGCAGGAAACCCCATGAGAATTTTATAGTCATCTATGACCCTTACTTCCAAAGTGTGGGACTGGAGACTGATTGGAGACCGATTGCTCACCTAGCCTGAGACCCTAGGGGTTTGATCCCTAGCACTCCAAAAAGAAAGTAAAGTTGTGATAACAGCAGCCTAAAGCTTGAAGCACTCACCAAGTTATATAGGTAGTTACTGGCAATAGAGATAGTAAAAAAACGAGAGTTTGAAGTGTTGAGTTAGGATATGGGAAAGAGCTCAATGTAAATGAAGCAACTTCCAGGCTGTGAAGAGGGGAGCTATTGAGCAGATTAGCCAGGTGCCCTACAAACATCCTCTCCTGGCACACAAAGCCCTAAATGCAAATCAAGCAGGAAGGAAAACTGAAAAGGGTCAAAATAAAAGCAGGCTTTCTTCACTTCTTTGCCCTCCTCTGGGGTCTGTGTCACACTGGGGACTGTAAGCTCTTCCAGCTGCACCACTGCTGTTTTTGAGATAGAAAGGAGACTTAACAGTGAAGATCTGGCCAAAGAAAGCTCCCTTGATGAGGCATTATGGGAAGAAAGAGTTGATGGTTTTTTGTTTTGTTTTGCTGTTGAGAAAATTCTAAAGCTGGGTACAAGTACAATGGCAGCTACCGATAATCCTAGCTACTTGGCAGGTGGAGGAAGCTAATCTGAGGGGAAAAGGAAGACCCATCTTCCCCATAACGAAGAATAAATTGTATACTTGTCACACTCCTCTTCCTCCTCTTTGGATCCTTCTTCCCTTCCTTTCTTTCTCCCTTCCCTTTTTGGAGACAGGGTCTCTTGTAGCCCAGTATGGCCCTGAACTTGCTAAGTAGCTGAGGATGACCTTGCCCTCCGTCCTGATCCACTTGCCTTTAACCCCAAGTTCTGATGTTATAGGCATATACTACTATGCCTACCTCCTTGGTCTTTTGAGAAAGGGTCTTGCTATGTACCATAGGCTAGCCTGAAACTAGATCTTCTGCCTTAGTCTTATCAGTACTGTATGTACAACCAGGTCCAGCTCACATTCCTTATATTAGCCTAACTGTCTACCAATTGTATTTATGCAAATGTACTCTTGCCTTAATTCCTCCAAGAAAGGGCAAAATAAAAATAAAAATAAAATGTATTCTAGGTGAGTGGAGCACCTTTTCCAGTCTTTCCTACAGTAAATAGCAAAAAGCCTGTAAGAACTAATTCCCTTCAAGAGGGTGAGTTTTATAGTTTTTGATTTCTCATTTAAAGAAGGAGGGGGGCACTGGGTTGAAAAAATTATGTTGCCTCCCAGTACTTGGGAGGCAGAGGCAGGCGTATCATTGTGAGTTCGAGGCCAGCCTGGTCTACAGAGCAAGATCCAGGACAGGCTACAAAGCTACACAGAGAAACCCTGTCTCGGAAAAAAAACAAGAACAACAAAACTATGTTGCCTTAGAATATAAGTTCCTCAAAGTAAGGAACAATGTCCTTATGGAACTGATGTAGATTCTCTAAAACAGCCTGAATAACAGTCACTACTGGGCTAGTCAGGTCACAGCCTTTGGCCAATACTTAACTGAAGAGTCAGTGGGAGATTATGTGCCTAGCATGCATGAAGCCCTGGATTCTATTCTTAGCACAGAAGGAGAAAGAAAAAGAACCCATGAATAAGTAAATACACCTCCATTTTTAAAGATAAGTGGTACTTGCCAATAGTTCTAGCTACTTGGAAGGCTTAGGCAGACGGCTCACTTGAGCTCAATAGATTGGGCTAGCTTGGGCAACTTAAGAACCAGTGTGTAAATAATATAGCTGGTGTGTTGCCTCATGCCTATAATCTTAGTACCTGGGAGACTGACACAGGAGGATTCCCATGATGCCAAGGGCAGCAAAGGCTACAGAGACATTAAAAACTTAAAAATATATTAAAATCATTTTGGGGCAGGATTAGGCAAGAGCTCTACCACAAAGCTACACCCTTAACATATTGACTAAACACTAATATAGGTAATATGTAAATAGAATTTGAGGCAAAACTATGAAGGTGGTGGGTCTAAATTTGGGGGATACAGTCTCAAACTGCTATTTATGTGTTATCCTTCACACACATCACAAAGGCTTTCTCTCCATTCAAAATCTTCAAATCTTCCCTCCACAAACTTCTGAACACAGATATTTAGGGATCCTCTGTGGCTGACTCAAGATGTAGGCTTGTCAGATCTCTTCAAGACCTGAGTCAGGTTACCTTCCTTTGTCTACTTTTTTTTTGTTCCTTAAAGTCTCTGTGGGGAACTGGACTTCAAAATAAAAGCTGCCATATACGTCTGATCACCAGGTTAATGTTATCTCTTAGGAAGGCTAAGAAAATGATCAGTGAAATAAATTTCTAAGATGCATTGCGAATACCAGTTTTATTTTTTCTCTCATTGATGTAGTTGACAGCTTAATTGAATATCAGATTTGTTCACAACAACCAGAAAGCAAAACCAGCTCCAAAGGAGTGAAGCGTGCCAGGCAGGATTAGAGCATTTGGGAGGCAGAGGTGGGAGAATCTGTGAGTTCAAGGGCAGCCTGGTCTACAGAGTGAGTTCTAGTACAGCCAGGGCTATGTAGAGAAACCCTGTCTTGAAAAACAAAACAAAAAGTGAAACATGCATGATGACAAAGATTTTAAATTCACTTGTAGACACAGATTGGACCTGATTCCAAAAAGACAAGTGGATATTTATAACTGAGAGGTAGTGTTGAGATTTGTACATGGAAATTTACTAAGAAGAAACTTCAAAGATAAGGGGTCTCTGACTAACCAATTGTGACAGGATTCACCATGACAAGATTTTGCCAAAGCAGTATAGGAATTTTTTCCATCTATTTTGAGTTTTTAAGACATGATCTTGTTAGGGAAGCTCATCTAGTATGAAATTCAGTATATAGCCTCATAGCAATCCTCCTGCCTCACCCTGAGTGCTGAGATTACAGGCATAAGCTAAGTTTAGCAAATTAAGAAGCTTGGATGATAAAGAAAATATTCTACTTTACTTAGTTCTCTCTTTGGATTTTTTAGATTATTTGGTAGCAAGCCTTTTGTTGTAGCTTGATGAATGTATTATTTAAATTATAGGGAGGAACAAAGAAGAGTAGTGTATTGGCAGAGTGTGGGATGTTATTAATAAAGTAGACCGATCCCACCCCTAGAAACATAGTTGTATTATGATTACATGATAGCAAATGAGTGACACATGCCTGTTATCTCCACCTATAATGGTAGAGGCCTGCTACATGGTCTTAGCTACTAATTGGCACCCATGACATAGACACAATCCACAGAGTAAACAGAATGACAAAGCAGCCATTGGCTGATGAACCCCACAGAGGCAGGACTGCACCAGATCTGCGCCCTGAACCCAGGAACAACACAGCTTCCCCAGGGTCCTATCAGGTCATTCCAAGACTAAGCAATAACTGTCTTTGCTTGTAGTTTCCTTCCTCTGTGAGGGCCTGAGCTCAAAAATAGAGTGACAGATGACAAGGAGGCTTGGGTTCTGTCATGCTTTATTATGATACTCTTTCAAGAAGATAATGTCTTTCAGAAAAATGAACACACTTTAGAAATGCATCTATTAAAAATTAAAACATGGACAGCCAGTGCTACACAAAGAAACCTTGTCCAAGATACAAAAACAAACAAAAACTACTTTGGGGCCGACTATGTAGCTCAATGATAGGGTGCTTGTCTAGCATGTATAAGACAGGTTCAAATCCTGTACCACACATACAGACACACCATAAAAACCTCACTAGCCCATGGGTTCCTTTTTGGCATGAGGACAGAGAGCTTTTAAATACTTTTAACTACTTAAGTGCTTGACTCTAATTTTTTTTTAAAAACAGGGTTTCATGTATTCCAAACATTTACTTCAGAAGTTTTAAAACAGAATAGATTAAAGACAAATAAGTTATACTATGTTAATGATCTGAGCATAAGCAATATCAAGGACTAGAAATTGCCAGGAGAGGAGAAAAAAAAGAAAAAAAAAAAAAAAAAAAAAGGAAAAAAGTGAAAAAAAAAAAAAAAAAAAAAAAAAAAAAAAAAAAAAAAAAAAAAAAAGGAAAGAGCTGGGCAGTGGTGGTCCACATCTTTAATCCCAACACTCAGGAGCAGAGACAGATTTCTCAGAGTTTGAGTTCAGCCTATTCTACAGAGACAGTTCCAGGATAGCCAAGGCTAGGCAGAGAAACCCTGTCTTGAAGAAAACCAGAACCAACCAACCAAGCAAAAAAGGAGATCAATTTATATAACAATTTGATTTTGTTGTTGTTTAGTTCATTATTTTTGCAGCACTGGGGAATCAAACCCAGGGCCTTGTACATGGTAGGTAAGCAGTCTACCACTGAGCTACATCCTCAGCCCCAAAACAATTCATTCAAATCCTTAAATATACTTGGGCTCAATTTATATTCATCTAGTTTCTTTCTCTCTCTCTCTCTCTCTCTCTCTCACACACACACACACACACACACACACACACACACACACACACACTATTTCCCACGGGGGAAAACAAAGGCATCTGAGGAAACAGCAAACGATTCCTTTCTGCCTGTCCTTCCTACTAAATCCTTCACTGGCCCTCTCCTCTGTGTCTCAACACCTCCAATAACATCTCATGAAATCCACGCCACAAATACAGTTGATGCCACCCACAGTGGACGATGCTTTCTGGTCTGTTTCTAAAGGCAAATGATATGGATTGCAAGCCATACAAACATACTGGGGATGGACGATAAAGGATGCAGATAGTCTAAGTCGCAAAGGGCTTGTGCAGAACAGGAACAATAGAAATCCACCTGGGTCAGAGGTAAGGGGTGAATTTCTCTTGCTGAGGCTCAGGTTTCTCTTGATGGGTCTTTAGTGGTCCACTTGATTTCAAGTTGAGAAGCATCTTTTTACTTCATTAACCAAACATGCCCAGATACAGCTGCTTCTCTTTCCTATGGTAGCTGCTGAGTTCTGACTGTGTCAACTGGAGGTACCGCCGGACATTGGCATCTTCAAAGACAATGAAAAAGGCAATTACAGATAGACCATAATGGCCCAATGGACCAGAGAGCACTGTTAACACTCCCAGTTACTTTAATTCTCCAAAATCTGAATGTATCACAATTATTCCATGCAATTATAAGTTCTATTACTTAATATGGCACTGTCAACTCCTTTTTTTTCCCCCTGGGTTTTCAAGACAGGGTTTCTCTGTGTAGCCCTGGCTGGCCTGAAACTCATAAAAATCTGCCTGCCTCTGCCTTCTGAATGCTGGAACTAAAGGCGTGTGCCAACTGCACCTGGCTATTTTTTTATTTTTAAAGATGTAGTCTGCCGTGTTGCCCAGATTGGTCTTGAACTTACAGGGTAAGTGACCCTCTTGCCTCAGCCTCTCATAATAGTTGGGACTATAGATGTGTGCCATTGTGCCTGCCCACTCAAGTAGCATTTCATAACAAAGCTGGGCGGTGGTGGCGCACGCCTCTAATCCCAGCACTCAGGAGGCAGAGGTTAGTGGAAATCTGTGACTTCAAGGCTAGCCTGGTCTACAAAGCGAGTTCTAGGAAGGGCACAAAGCTACACAGAGAAACCCTGTCTTGAAAAGCCAAAACCAAA